GCACCATGGTAAGCCCAAAATATGCCGAAAAGGAAATTTGCCTGCCACAAAAGTATTTCTATTGGTTAAAATTACTGTGGAAGATGGATTGCCTCGAATAATACAGATGATTTTTTTCCCTTTTCTATTCTAAACAATATATTATTATTACAGATAGCAAGTTGAGGTATTTAGAATCCGGATATATTATATCTTAACTATTTTTTTGTAAATATATACCATATATTGTAGACTCAAATAATGTTTAATAGAGAGGGGGTTGTGCAATGACATCAGAACCATTTCCTTGCAATTAATTTCTCAAGTGAAATTATATTTGTCGATTGGAAAGCTAAGCCAAACTAAGAATGATGGTTGATCATGAACACGCCAAACAATAGGTCTATATTTTAATATAATGATATATAATCTATTGATCGGTAATACCGTAGAAGAAGTAAAAATAACCATTGAGGTATCTAATATGCTACTGTTGTCATCCTCAGGGGAATCTCTATAATTACATAAAAAGAAAGGTGAAAACATCTATTCTAATTAATTTAAACAATAAATCTAAACAAAGCCTAACATCTAGAAATAGACGAAAGGAACCGATACCAGTTCTTATATAGGATGCTATACTTATTAATTTTTCAAAGAATAAAATAAAAGAAACAATACCAGGACTTATTAAACAATGAATTTGTTTACTTCTAATTAAATTAAATGATGGTTCCGGTCTAGAAGTTAAGAATCATATTAATTATTTTAATAAATCCTTTTCTTTAAAATCATCCTCATGTATCCAATATAATTATGATGCTTTATACGTTTATAGTATTCATTGATAAAAGACCAATCGTCGAATATCGTAATCAATTTTTAATGAAGCGCTTTTGATATCATTGACTTCATATAACGATACTAAGGATTATTGCCTTCTTATTTATCTGAATTGGGATCACCCAGGCGAAGGGGTTCTTGAGCATTATATTTATAATAGAAGCAGTCAATATGGCAGATCTTTTGATCAAATAGAATCATTAATCGAAATATCTTAATATCACTGTGTTGAAATAAACTGTTCAAAAAGACACAATTGAGTTAAATGGTGCATGTCATCTATGGAAACTCATAAACGCTTCGTCCAAAATGAAAAAAAAAAAAAAAGTCCTCACTGTAAAATACTAAATTAATTGCAATCTTAAATTCACTTTACACTCATTTTCGACGATTATCTTTATTAAAATATGTCTTTGATATGAAAAGATAAAAAAAAATGTTTAAAGTAAAAGTAACAAGATTTAATCAAAACTGATCCGTACATATGTTTTACATAAAACTTTCTTTCAACCCTGGCTTTAACGATTTATAAATTAATATACTTTAGATGTTTCTCCAGAAATCTTGTTAATATTTAAGTGAAATAAAACAAAAATAGAAACATTCTAAACACAAATGTTTTTAGAAGAGAGAGAAGGGGAAAAAACTTTCACATAACAGCCTTATTCTGGGGGTCTAATTCTGACAAATCCAGTCATTTTGATATATTTAACAAATTTTAACACAGCACAAGGCGTGAACAATTCTAACACTCTGAAACAATCGAGTGAAAGTTTTCCATTTTTGAGTAAATCCGATCTCTTCAGAATGTTGCGTCTTAATGACTTACACAAAACTCGGCTGATAATAAGTCAAATGTTTATGGTGGTTAATTGAATAAGTGAGCCAACAGATGGTAGAAATGTGACAAAAGATATTTCGTTTTAACAAAAAGTGTTTCGGCTAAAGCTAAATTTGTTATATAATTATTACCTCAACCGATATAAAACGGTAAATACCTTACACAATTACAGGAAGTGGATGCATTAAAATTTTAGTATTTTAAATTTTATATTAACAAATAACCAACATAATTTTATTTTTATTTATTTTTTTTTTAAATCCTAATATATGCCATTAAATGTCAGATTAATTTGAAGTGATACTTGTATCCTTGAACTTATATATATGCTTTAAATGGGTTACAATTTTTAATTATTTGAAAATGAACGAGACGGTTGTAAATTCACATTACATTTTTTAATATTTGCACAGCGTTGTAATGTACAAAGACAATTATGACAAAAGTTTAGACATCTTTAAATGAGAAGTGTGGAAACTTTCCTTTATTTTGTTTCAAACACTTCAACTTATGCCATAATGTTTTAAGAAATTAAAATTTAAAAGAAGTATATTTAAAAGTTTGTGTACGTAGAATAAAAAAGTTACAAGTTGTATAAGTGAGTGGTTTTATCTATACGACGATGTTTTAAGTGTTATTTGTGTTTTAACGGTGGGCAGGCAAGTTAAAGTGTTACAAGTTAATCATATACAAACACCTAAACATCACATTTACTCTTCTACTCTCCTCCTATACTAATGTTTTACACTCACAACTCAAAACTATACATTTTATCTACATTTTATGACAATTCCTATCAATCTACGCCCATTTGCTTTATCTAAATTAAAATTTATTATTATCATCTTTTTTTAATTTTTAAGAATTGCATACAAATTTATTTTTCAATCTAAGAATACTACAAAGATGTAAATATTTATTTATCTTTGGTGTCTTCTTTGACTATATTTGATTTACCCTCACAAATATTGATTTAATCTCAATTTTATCTACACTGTGATCTACATTTACCTCGACTTGGTCTACAGGTTTAATATAAAAAAATATTAACTTTTGATGAATCCATCAAAGCGTGTAATTTGTTGGTCAAAGTTATTGATTCCTCTCGGTGAGTCTGAGTCTTATGTACCAATGATTTTAACACCTTCTACTTATTTTGCCCTTTTATTCTACTTATATGGCTGTATTTCCAATACTTAATAGTCGAGTTTATGAAATTTCTTAAAGATTTTGTTTTTAAGATCTCTTCTTCAAAAAGCAATGTTCTTTTTATTTCACCTGCATTTCATTTTACACATAAGAGTTCAGTTTCACATAATTTCCTATCAATGTATTTAATAGTGATTATGTAAGTTGACAAGTATGCAATCGTAATTTAGATGAACATTAAAATGTCATTCTCATTCGTTATCAAGTTCACATTTGGTACCAATTTCATTCATTACCGAATTTAGTCCTATTCTTAAACTGGCTATTCCTAAACGAAACGTCTGTGTCTTAGAATACTCCCTTAGTGATAAATATACCCATTAAATTTATATTCTTGATGTTTGGTTTGACCAGGGATGTAAGACCTCTATGTTTAATACTATCTAGGGAGATCAATAATCTAGATATCAATAATATTCTTTTAGAAAAACAATTCTCCAAAATAATCCTCACAGTTCCAAGAAATCAATAGTGTAACAAAGATGTGTTTTGGAACAGAATGGAATCTTAATTTTTAACATAAATATGATAAACATTCGAATTCGATTAATTTATCATGACTATTCGAACCGATTTTGTTTCTGTATTTGTTATTCGATCTCAATTAAAGGCAATTAATTCCAATTAAATCAATTCATACCAATTGAATTTTATCAGTTTTCTTTTTTGCCTCACATAGGAAATATATCATACAATTATTCAACAAAATCCACTCATACAAATTAAACATACAAATATAGAAAATATGTTGTTTTGAAGGATTCGTAATTATGAAAATGCACTTAAAAACGATCCAAAAATTGATAATTTGAATTAAATCGAATATTCGAATAACTTTTGAATTACATTTCAATAGTAAAATAAGAATTCGGTGTGACCATTAAAATCTATGCTAATCAGGTTTTTTTTCTAATTTTGAAGTAGTAAAAGGACAAATCAATTTTATAATCAACGAATAGCAAAATGATATTGGATAAAATTTGATCCATACATTATCATGTATAAAATGTGATTTTCGTATTTATGTTGAACCTAGAAATTGATATTAATGCATCTGTTGAACAGGGAGTCGGATCAAGCCGGGTTCGTTAATTCTAACAGTTAATTAGACCAGTGTTTATTGATAGTGGTAATTATCATTAACATCTGTTGGTTAATTGTCAGATGAAGAAGGAATCAAGTAGGAATCATCTTTGAGTCATGGATACCTTAACTACGACGTCTTGGTAATAAAAGTAGGCCTCCTTGTGATTATTGGGATATTATCATAGTTATAGAGCCCTGAATTTATGTACAGGTCATGCAGATTAAAGTCTCATTTTACAAGAACCAGGGCAAATCTGTGCCATGATTCAGGTAACTTTTACGATAGGCAGTGTATTTATTCATACTAATTCTTCCTGCTATATTTTAAAAGGATCTGAACATGAAAGTGCACTCCCATTTTGTTGTTTCCAACTATAGGAAAGTCCCAGATAATTAACAAAAGCACATTTTAAAAGGATCTGATATAGAAACTACACTCACATTCTCTTTTTCAGCTATGTGAACTCGATGTGTATAAAATGTATCCATTCAGATTTTTATACAGCATAGGTGTTTTATAAAATGTATCCATGAACAAATTTCATTACAATGTATCTTTATGAAATGTTTCCATGCACACATTCAAAAACACTTGATCAGTTATGAAATATATTAACAAATGCAGGCATATATTTATGTACATTTCTAATGGCATAATATTTTAATGTTTTATGCAATGTATAATGTTTATATTTAGAAAAAAGAAAGGATTTCGATGAATGCATCATTGTGTATGTATCGGCATTTATTTTAATTGAATCAGTGAATATCTAAAACACCGCCAAACATGTAATGAAAATACAAATTGCAGAACCGTTTATTGACGCTGAACAACGTAAACAATGGTGGTGTCACTGGTAAAGATGACAATTAAACGACACCAATTTCTAAAAATGTGTCCATGAAATTGTCGACCATGTTGGTAAAAATGACAACAATCAATTATTTATCTGATTGATTTCTTGCTCTTTGATGGCCATGGGGAGCAGAATCTTGGGGATGAAGGGTTTTTTTGGGGGGTTTTTTTAATGAAGAAACTAACCTGTTTAAATTGTTCCTCAAAAGTCCAGTGATGATTTCTGCCGTCGCTGCCTGAATCGGGTGAAGGAAGTAAGCTTAAAGGATGAAGATGTGATGAACGTGAAAATCTGTCACCCGGGGAGGTCTGCCCCGCGTACGGGCTGTGATTAGCTTGAAGATCAATTCGTAATGGGCGTATGTCAGATGTTAAGTCTCTGGGAGATAAATGACCCAGGAGAGGGTGTGGATGTTCATGGGAACGTAAACTTGAACGAAAGTCATTAGCTTGTTTAATATTACAGTCTGTTTGTATACCATTTCTCTGTTGCATTCGTTCCTGAGCTAATCTGAGTTCCTTTTCTCTCACTCTAAGTTCTTCTTGGTGTCTAGCCAGGGCCTCTTCGTGGGCCTGCAACTCTAGTTCTATTTCCTCTCTTTCCTCGCGTTCCTGTTGTTTTAATTTCTCATAAAGTGCCCGATCAGCCGGGTCCAGTTTATCAGCTTTAATTAGTAATTCACTATCGTCCCCGTGACCGCTGAAATTATCCGATTCCGCATCCGACACTGCATGATCCCCATCTGACTGAAAACAAAATTAAATATATAAAATCAAACAATTAAAATCGTTATCAATTTTAGTTGAATTCTAATAATTTGATAAATTATACATCGATGTTATATAAATTTATAATAAAGTTAATATTGCATAATATATATATATTTTATTTTGTTGACAGTTACTAAATATTATATATTTTTTTATATACTAACCAAGAAACCACACAGATAATTATGCAAGAACAAATAAAAAACAAACTTTCAATAATTTCATTCGTCGCGTGCGGTCTGTGTTTACCGGCAGAAAAAAGTAAACAAGAACACATTTTCTAAGTGAGTAAATACATGAGTGAAACAATCTTCGCCAAGCTATCTTTTCTGAACTATAGAACTGGTGAATTATTTTATTTTCATAAAATTCAAGGCGACATGGAATTACAAACGAGTACCAGTACTGATATCACTGATACACTTTCTCGTCGATTAGCCATTCTCAATGTTTATCTATTTAAAATATAAAATAATCTTTGAAAAGTCAAGTAAAAGTAACAGAACACTGGACTTACCATGTTTTCATCTATACTGTTTTCACTTTGTGACATTACTTTCCAACTAATAAATAAAAATCAATATCTCCAACTGTTTTTATTTATCTCTCAACGTGATCTTCACTTACTAGTATCGGGGGTGCTAAAGCCAATTTTGGTAACGCGCTTTATCAAATAATCCTATCCCATCATTCAACCATATTAATTTATGCAATGGGAGGTCACGTGACAAAACAAACTCTCCAACCAAAGCGTTGTCCTGCTGGATCGATAATGTCGACTTAGTTCACTTCAATCAGTTAACCAGTTAGATCGTTTGTGTAAAGTATAGAATGAAACTCCTTAAAGTTTACTGCAACAACTACCTCTGAAGTACTTTTCACGAGTTGTCTAAATGTCGGAAGCCATTGTATTAGCAATGGCCGCCTCCGTGTTCGGTAAACAATGATATTACCAGATATTTCATTGAAGCATCTCGAGGAGCGTTAAAAATCCGGTTAAAAATCCATATTTGTTTAGATCGTTTAACTAATCTGACTTTTCTTTATGTAGTTGAATAGTTTTCAATAGGGAATGTTATCCATTTTCATATGTCAGTTAAGGTGAGCCTCACTACCGTATTCTTCTATTAAACTTATACCCCAATGCAAAAGTCTAGAGACTACTTGTGTTAGAGTATTCAAGTATAATTATATGTTATAACAGACACAATAAGAACTTGAACAGACATAACATTAGAAGCCCTGTTTTTATTATTATTAAAGTTTATATAAACCTTTTTGTAAAGCAATACTTTACACCGCTTTACTTACATGTACTTAATATTGTTTGGCACCATCACCTGGTGTCCAATCAAAGAATTACTGTAATAAACATTAATTGTATTCCATAGACTTGTGTCCTTTTGAAAAGAACAACCCGTAGAAAATCATTATTTGTATGTGTCCTTTTCTATTAAGTTACGTCCACATTAATATATAGTACCAAGTGCATTGAAAGAAAAATAATCACGTTTAGGTCTATGCTCCTTGCTTTCTACTTGGTGAAGTGTGTGTCTTACACTCATTCTAGAATTGCCAATTTGACAATGTAATGGAACTCATACAATGAGAACGTAATCCATATACGCCAAGACATGGTACTTGATCTTACTTGTATATTCCAACCAAACGACATTTAATTCGGTTCTTCCTCATACGGAACACAGTTATACATATTAATTGCTTAGTTTATGGTTCTTGAAAGACTGGGTATACACGAGTTACGTATAATAGGGTATAATAAACATTTTAAATAGATATATCAGTAACAGAATCAAAAGACCTCTGTGATTTAAATCAAAATAGAGCCACCGTTGGTTAATCAGATGTGTCTTCAATGTGGATCAAGTGCAATAAGAAATTTCATTTTGAGTAAATGATATATCTCAACATTAACTAACGAAGGATGTAACTATTTTTAAAACACTTAAAAATACCGAGACATATTCGTTAATGCAATCGACAATTTTGTTTTTCATCTCAACCAAGAAGTTTTGGGTTGGTGGGGTCTTTTTTAACTTTACACGACTAATTGAGCCCTTGAACATGAAGGGTCTGCAAAGATTTCCAGACCCCGCACTTCTATGTCTAAAATCTAACACCCCAAGTCCAGCACATTGGTCACGAGACATGTTACTCGAAACCATATTTAGTCTGTCAAACAGTAAATAATGAACCTTTCACTAAATCTCTAGACAACAAATCACATTTAAGTGACATAATGACTGAAATATTTAACTTATTTGGAAAGACAATAAGTACATGAATGTATTTGATATTTTCCTGTGAAAGATAAATATAAAAATAGCAGCACTCCTTGAGTATCACATATTTGCCATTGTACATTTACTGTTTTAGAATGATGATACGACTTTTGATTTCCTATTTTGATCGATGTTTAAATTTTTAGCATTTGACTCATAATTTGCGAAAATATCACTGGGGCCCTTGCATCAACAGTTGTCTTATCGTAGCCCCCCCCCCCACACACACACACTCACTCCCAACCTATACCGTAACGCATATAGAATATTTATTTATGTTACAATATATTTAATATTAAGGTCCCTGACTGCAGCCCAGATAGCACCCCCTCCCCTTTAATCGGCCCTGGTGATAGTTGGGAGACTCTTACTCTAACCGAAGTGATACCAATCTTGATAAAAGTCTAACATGTCGTGAGATCAAGTCTTTTTTGATCGAATTACAGTATACACTCGAAATAAAATACTTAAATCAAAATAGTATACTTTATAACTTGTTTTAAAGGGAGTTAAAACTATGCAAAACTGAGTGATTTATGATCTAGGAGCACGAAACGATTAGTGTTTGGAGTAAGCCCTGGCGAGTGTATTGATGACCCAAACAGTGATCCTTTAAACTGAGCGATAGAATACAAGTCAAACTGAAAATTTTGACAACATCGAGCAACAGCAAGTAGACAATTTATTTGAGGGAGAATACTGAATAGTAGTACCCGTCTAGTACGGTCTACACTTACTGAAGCGTCACACCCATCACTTCTATGGGACATATACAATTAATCTATTAAATAACCTCAGTACTTTGCTGTCCATACAAGTTGCCCAAGGAAAGTTGAAATGGCCACATTTGTCATTTATTCTGATATTCCGTTTCCATCAGTGTTGGTAAAGTTTGAGCATAATTATATAAGTTGGATACATATATCTGTAATTGAAAGACATAGCAAGGATATAGCAAGGATATTATACTTTTGGTTGATGAATCTTGAATTATAACTTCTTAACATCATTTTCGCAATTATTTCTGAAATTTCCATTTTTACCTGCAAATATTTCATGTCTTTAAATGTAGAGTTTTATTTATCATGTGAAATTGTTGTTTATCGGGCTGAAAAATCAAATGTTTAATACAGGAGACCGTAGAACCCACATTTTAGGCCTTGTCTTTATTTAGGGATCAGCAACCCATTGTTTCTCGCTAGAACATGGCTAAAGCAGCATTTGATTGACTTTAATGAAAGTGATACGAAAACAATAATCCATCCAACACAAAGACTTTCATTGTAATTTATACAATACTCCGATGGTTAATATATAGTTTGACTGCTACATAGACAGACCGCGTGTTTTAACGTATGTCAGAAATCAGTTTATATGTAAAAGATACCCCGGTTACGATTCAGAATATACCCTTTTCCCTAAAAACAGATGGATATCATTACCGTGTCATTGTCATTTATTTTGACGGGAAAAAAAAATTCAAACGATATATTGTAGATAATTACATGACATTGTTTATTTGGGTTTTTGGATTATTTTTAAATAATTTGTTTTAGAATTTGTTTGAAAGATCTCTTTATCTTTTCCATCTCCACATGTAAAAGGCATCTATAACATGAATATATTTTCATAAAGAGATCTTTATCATTGTTTGTATCATGGGTTAAAGATAAATGATAAGTTTATACGCTGCTCTTTGTCTTATAAATATAATAAATGAAAAGAACAATATATCATCAGAGAAATGGTGTAATACCGATGCTTTTAAAGTGAAATCACACTATAATAATTTTGAGATTTTAAGGAGATGAGAGAAAAAATTTCTTAAAGTCATAAAATCGCGCTATTAATACAATAGTGAGATCTGAAATGAAATAAAATGGCTTAATGTCAAATTGTTATGCATGAACCATAATAATGAAGACAGGTATAAGCCATACAGTGTGTTATGGGGGAAATTTTGCCTCGAATTCCAACTGTCAATGATTCTTTACACCCAAGCCAACGTACACACGGAACCATGTTTTTTGGTCAACGGCAAGACTAGGCACTGTTGCTTGCCAAGACCCCCGTTCAGCACCACTGACAATGGTAATACCACGTTGGAAAATCTCGTGGAACTTTTTCGGCCTACACTGGACTCGATCGCCCGCACCTCCAGGTTATAGCGACCCAGCGCCTTACTCACCGGGCCACTAATGAGTTATATTACCGATACCTTACTTGAACCACCTGTCCGATAGATACTATTGTAGCATCGATGATTGTTGAGAGGTTGTGGCATCCTCTGAACAAAACCTAGGCGCCTTATTTGACCGATTCATGGATAGGTCAAATCACATACATTTTACCTGTAATATGTAACTTTCTTTCATATCTGTTGTTTCTGTTATCAATTCTCGTAAACACCCGTATCCACCAATGTCATTGACTAAGCATCATGTTTTAAAGACTGCTGTACGATTTGTCACCATATAAGACGTTCGTTTTGTTCAATATAACACATATCATGATCTATCTCAAGAAATATCCGTTGAACACAAACCAATGTCCATGGATATGTAGATAGTGCAACAGTCTAGGCTAGCCCCAAAGAGCAATATATATTTATATGTGTGCTTTATAACTAAATTATCATTTTGGAGTTTCTGGAACGTCCGCGTCATATTTCAAGTGGAACTTCACAGAACCCATAGCCACATTTGAAATGCAGTTCAGTGATTGTGGACGAAGGACGTAATTCAGTTTGTTTAAGAGATCACACTTAAAAAGTAACTAGACAATTTTCATGCTCTTATCATTCCCTGCGTATTCTATGAGATCATATGAGTTTTCAACTTTGTATACTACAATTCCTCATGAAAATTAGAACACAGGATTAAAAGATATTGTCCATCGTGTCATGTTTCGCAAAAATAAAACTCACTGATATCAATATTTAATTGTGTAATAATACAAAGCTACATATTTTGTCAAAAACAGTATGATGGCAAATAAAAATACACCGTAGATGCCATTGAAGAATGTTAGAATTCCATAGACACTCTATCTATTTCCATTTCGGGGGGGGGGGGGAGACATTTTCCAGCAAGCACTTGGTATACTACCTATGGATACAAAGTGTGGGACTTTACTTGTTGTTATATTTGTTTATTCCTATGGATACCATGCTGGATCTGGTTTAAGGTAACAGAAGACCTGTTGTAATAGAACGTGCTGGAGCCGAGAATTGGTCAGAATGATGTTGAAGCACTTTTCTTGACATACCAAGCACTATAATTTCTTGGAAAAGGAGTTTTTGTTCAGATTAATAATGTGTGTGTGGGGAGGGGGTAAATTGGTATCACTCGTTGAAAATGTCCCGAGTTGCCTTTTGTTTTAAACAATTTCCACTTTTCATAAAATAAGTGATCGCAATTTGATCTGGTTTAGAAACTGTATGCAATAAAAAGGTAATAGTTATTTAACTTAAATTCCGAGTACTTACATTCATATTTCATGTGACATATAGTTATATTCCTGGTTTATGGGTTATATTCCTGATTCTTTGT